AGAAAATAAAGATTTCAATTTGAAAGCTAGACTTTATAGTAAAACGAAAAACTGAGAATGCCCCTTCCTGATTGAAAATAGTTTTCGAAATTGATTTCCGCAGCCAATGACCAGTGTGAAAGATGTAAACTGCGTACCTCATGAATGTACCCCATTTACAACTGAGTTGTACCTAACGTGTACCCCATTTGGGACCTGGACAGCTGGCAACCCTGGTCTATTCCTTTTAAAATTAAAATAAGTAATTATTATATAAAAAAATGTCTCATAAATATTTTTAAAAAAATGATCATCACATATTAATATGAAAAATCTTTTCTAAGGACTAGTCTACATTCTTTTTAAACATGAATATATATATTATATTTGAAACTTAAATATAATATTCAAATAAGAAAATAGATAGGCTAGAATAATATTTATGAGATGATTTTTTCAAAATTTATTCTCAACAGAAATTATACAAGACAAATTCCTACGTTTTTAAAACTAACTATTCGACCCAAAATCTAATCACATACTAACCATCGACTATCAGTACCTAAAATATGTGACATAAATGAGCGATTATATGATCCATGTATGAGGTCCAACGAAAAAGTACTTGCTTTCTTATTCTTAGCCCATTCTATATATTTCTCGAAATAAAAATTAATCTTGCATACTCTAATATAAATAGAAATGTATATAAATGTATTTATATCGAAAAAGATAAATGTTTATGTATAAATTGAAGTATTTATATTTATCGAATGAATGTATAGATATAACTATTTACATTTGAAAAATGTAGAATGATAGAGAACGGTTTCTTTTCTTTCTAAGAATGATATTTAATGATCTGAAATGCATTCCTTACTTCCAAGAATCCATTATGAGGCAATCCATCACATAACGTAAAAGAACGCGATCTCCTCTAAAGGGATTTCAATCCTGACCGTTCCCAAACACAATGAAAAGAGAACTATTCCGATAGTGGATGGAACGATTTAGAAGGCTTTCTATTCTGATAAAGAAAGATTTTGAACTTTGAAGAAAACCTACCATAACAGTATGGAACTGTGAAGAATGCGTTCCCTCATATGTTGAACGTATTTTTTTCAGTAATGAACACATTCGTCAATTAATAGAAAGCGTTCTTCATGAAAAATATAGCTTTCCCTGCTCTGATGAATGCGTTCCTTTCCGTTTTTTTCTATGATTATTTTTTACTGGGATTAAATAGAATAAATACTTGACAAAACTATAAATAATTATTGAAATCAGTTTATAGACAAAATAATTCTGTGATTGGCAAGTTTTATTCTAAAACGTGTTTGATAATAAAGTGTTCGACGGTTATATTTTTATTCCTGATAAATGTTTTCTCATATACCGGAGTAGTGGGAGAAAGAGAAATAAAAATACTTTGCTCAAAAATTATTAATATCAGTGCTATTAAACAAGAAAAATAAACAAAAATAAAAAAGATTTTTAGTTAATCATATAACTTGTTATTGATCTACTTAAAATCGAGGGATCCTTTTTTTCTATATAAACTATTTGGATTTATCTCAAAATATGTTCAAGTCTTTTCGATATTTTTGTATTAATCGAAAACTAAAAATGCTAATTTTGAGAATATTTCACTAACGAGGGAAGGTCCCTGAGTATGTCTCTTGGATTTTAACCAAAAGTAAATGGATGTGTGTCAGGTGAAATATTGGTATCTCAAATATAAACAAATTAGGGGCTGAGAGCAAACAAATAAAAAAANTTGTTTCACAAAAAACCCCCCCCCCCCCCCCGGAATAGAAGACCTTCCCGGATTAAAAGGGCCTCCCCGATTAGAAGACCCACCTAAAAATTTTGAATGATCGCCCTAATATAAGACCCGGCTTTATAATTCGTCCATGTTCGCTATTGCATGATATGTCCATTACTCTTCGCAAGAAAGAAAATTTTGTTTTTAACACTCAATTTTCTGCGAAGTTTTCAAAATTTCGTAAGAAATTCTGGCGGAAATCCGTTTTTTTAAGCATTTTACCCCAATTTTTGTACATGGCCTTTTTTTTTAACAAAATATCGCAGAAAGAGGAAAATTTTTTATCAACACAGACTCTATGTTTCAAATAGAATACNGGGGGGGGGCGGTTGTAAACAAATTAGCGGCTGAGAGGAAACGAATAAAAAATTCAGTGAACAGATTTCGTAATACCCTGACGAGTACCACGGACGAAGTTTTTTGATGGCAAAGTACTGGTAGTTCCTTTTCGAGTATTAGAAAATTTGTTCACTGAAATTTTTTTATTTGTTTGCTCTCAGCCCCTAATTTGTTTATATTTGAGATACCAATATTTGACCTGACACACATCCATTTACTTTTGGTTAAAATCCAAGAGACACACTCAGGGAACTTACCTCGTAAGTATGATTTCGGTCAAACTCATGCTTTTATTATTATAAGTGATATTCAAATATTTTATGTTTCGATGCCTAAATGATATTTATAATTGTAATTGATATATAATTGAACGATTTCTTAATGAATTTATATATATTTGTTTTACAATAGTTAATATACTCTTAACGACTTTCAGATTTATGCGACATATAAACACATAGCAACGAACTAGTATTCTCAAATGTGTTTAAAAATAAACAATTATCACATTTAAATAGTACTTTTGTGTCGCACATTTTCTTAGTAAAATGCGAAATCATCAAGTCTGTTAGTAAAAATTCTGTAATAGCCGGCATTTTCATATGGTTCAACTCTAGGTAAACGAAAAATCAATTACATTTTTAACAATGGTAGATATAAATGGGCCCTTTCTATTTTGAAATGTGCAGACAATCTGCTCTGTTTATTGATGCGAGATAGGTATTAGAAGGTATAAATGTGACATTCATTCATTGTTAATCACGTCATTGTACGGCAGCATCATAATTTATATTTTTTGATTGGTTACTATCAATCAAAGAGCAGAATAGTGTTTGCCTGGCAAATAGATGTTATCAACACAACTTTCATCGTTCTAGATGAATCATTAACGAAACACACCTAGGAGTTAAATTAATAATATACGATTAAGTTAGAATAGAATTTTAGAGAAATTTTGATTGAGTATAAGAAGCCCAAAAAACAATCTACTGATGAAAAAAGTAACTGACTAAGCTTCGTATAAAATACTATGATAATCATATCTATTCTATATTTTAGACTTCATATTTTTTAAAGACACCCACTTTCAATCCTATGCAAATGTACCCAAGTCAAACAATTAGAATATGAGATCATACAAGACTGTATCTGTGATTTTCTACGACGTTCTAAGATGAGATGTTAACTGTATGTAAAACTTTCATCTCTATGAAGTCTATTACATGAAGTCTAATTATTAGATTCTTGCAATACTTTGTTGTTTCATAATATATGACTGCAACTCTGTAGGGAGTTTGATGCACCAATAAACTCTTGGAAGAATAATATATAGTAAAGTTTACTCGAAGGCTTTAGTCTCAAAGAGTTTTAGTATAATTGTCATAATATTTCGTCTGATCTACAAGAATATTATAACAGAGATTGTTCGAGATGAGTTCATCACGCAAATGAATTACATTATAATTCTCTTTCAAATATTTTCTACTAAAATTGGTATCAGAATCTCCCTAGTCTCTTGGCATTCGCGTCAAGAGAGACACTTTCAGTTAGATTACGCCCTTAATTTTGAATGAACTTGTTAAAAACAAAACTCATTCGACATTGTTTAAGATAGCATGATGAAAAATTCAAAAATAATGATCGAAAAATGAAAACGAAAAACTGAATGTGGAAAAGGTGATGAAATGATAAAATTTTATTCAAGATCTAGATAGTTTCATTTCTAATTAATTGAACTAAAAAATTAATTCGATACATTTTATTTATTTTTTCTAATGTTTAATAAATACAATATTTACATCAAAATAAAGTTCTAGTCCAAAATATATTCATTTTGTATAATTTAATATTTTCTTCAACTCCCTTTTTTCTTTTTTCAACAATTTTTTATGTCCGTTATCACTCTCATTAAGAATCATTGAATTACCAAAATCGCACAGCATGATTCGTTTATGTTGATGATTGTCGTAATTAATCAGAAAATTTTCAGGCCGTATATCATTATGTAACACATTTTGCTTGTGTAATTGATCTAATGTTTTTAAAGCCATCGCTTTCTCGTCGTTGGAATATTGCTCGAAACTTTTGCTTACTCCACTAATTTCATAACATACAATATAAAACCAATTTAATTTTTTTTTAAATCCGGATACTATTCTATTTGCCACGTAAGTACCTTGCAATATTTTCAAGTGATTATACAATTCCTTTTCATTGTTTAGTTGCATCATCATATTTGTATTTTTAGTTGTGTCGCATATTTTTGTGGCATATTCTGTATTATTGTATAAACATTTATAGACGCAACCATTTTGACCGTAGCCTATCGCTTCGTTCATTAATTTTATTTGTTTTGATTTTGACGATTGGTACTGTTCGGATCTTTTCTTTTTTCTTTTTTCTTTTTGGTGAATATGCATCGTTATTATTATCATCTTCTTCACTTTCATCATCTTCTATTTCATCATGATCCGAATCGTACGTTGTATCGTCGTTTATTGACGTATTTAGGCTGCGTGAATGATCTTCAATCGATAGATGTACGACATAAAATAATGCCCGATACACAGATATATCAACATCTGTTGATTTAATTGCCGTTGAAATATGTAATAACGTTTTTTCACGTTTCATGAAATAAAAACTTTCATAATTCGTTAAAATACCATATTTTAAGTTATTAATTCGCATGTATCCAAATATTTGTTGTACTGGAAGTCTAACTTTTGTACCAAGAATGCGATAAGCAGCAGCTAAGTTGTCTGGTTCTGTCAAAGACCAGATTGTTTTGACTTCAATGACAAGTTTTACGATGTCGTTATTGAAGAAAGCGAAATCTGGTTGTCCTATAGAAAAAAAAAGAGAATCAAATATAACTAAAATTAAAGCAATGATCTATAACTTGAACGATTGCATTAGCAGTCATCTACGAAATCTGTTTTCAAGTGTAAGATACATAGTCGGTAGATATGCACCAAATAGAATTCCAGTGAAATCCAAATCCAATTCTTGGGTGAGATTTCACTGGACTTTTCTATTATACGTATTCTAAAAGTGAAACCAATGAATTTTATGAAGAGAAAGCTCATTGATTTCAATGAAGTTTGACTTCAAATAAAAAATTAAATATAACTTCGAATTTATTTCTAATTTTTCAAATGTATTATCCTTTGTCTGTTTTAGAAATGCATTTTTCAATCGAACTGGTTGAGACATTGACTAACCGGTTAGTGTGAAAGAGGACATTTCAAATTCGAAATTCTTGTGCATATGACTGAACATTCTTGAAAAGTTCGATCTTCTGCGGCTTCTATCTATTGGATTAACATTAAGGCTATTTAAAAAAAACTAATATGCCCTTAATTAGTATAAAAAAATCATCATTGGCCTATTTGCCTTAAAGATGATCTGAAATAATGCTATCACTCGTTGTTGATGATGTGATAGATGAGTCTTTTTTAACAAAGCACATAATACATTTCTGAGTACTTTCACAAAAATGTTTTTTTAAGATGGGTATTTCAAATTTTTACAGTTCGACCATAACTGCTAACTTCTTCAATGAAAAGGAAAAATTACTGAAATTGATGTACACTTACCAATAACACCATGTGCACTTGACGAACATGATTTAAACAAAGAATTTATTTCTTTTTTACGAAGATATTGAGATAATGGTTCAAAAACATTATCAATCATAGCATGTTTGACTTCTGTTTCATCTGTTATTTCTGGTCTTAGTTCTGGTGATTCGATTAAGTATTGTAAAGTTAAATCATCGTTTTGTATTTGAAAATCTTTCAATTCATTTTCAAATCTGTCCCAAAGTACAACTTCCGGATATCTACAATAGTAGAAAAAAAATAGTGTTATTATTGTCATTATCCTCATTTCATCCGTAAAACTAACGCAGAAGATACACTTTTTGTTGATGAATTTGAGCTATTTGCACCATAGGTAAGCTTGGGCAAAGATGTGTTAAAAAATTCCAATGGGGTTTTATTTATAATCCTAAATATATACATCAAACAACTTCTAGTTATATTTATATTTACGATCAAAAAATTGCTATTTTACATACATATATGAATCGACAATGCTTGATACTTTGGACGAGTCTTTCGATTGAACAGACATGATTCATAGATAATATGGGGGATAAGAAATGTGTAAAAATCTATAATTATATAATTTAAGGAAAAATAAATGAGTGCAACATAAATAAGTCACATAATACATTATATAGTGTCTCACGCCAGATGAACACAGACAAGATTTTCTATCGTTACGGGCGGTAAGACACGACAAATATCGAAAAATCACGTCCTTTCTGTGCTCAGCGCTGTATTGTTTCAGAATAAAGGCGTTTCTTACGGCCTACCGATAACAGTTACACTTCTCATTGTCGACATCTATAGATAAAAATCGAGTAATGAAGAAAAAAAGAATTCTAATTTATCCTAAATTAGTATAAGGCCCCAATAGATTGATTGTCAATTTTTATACTCAATTCAATCTATCAATGCTAATATTAAGAAGAAGAAAAGGTCAAGTGAAGTGGGCACAAGTTGATGGGTCATATTAAGTCAACTATAAATATGATTAAAAGCAACAATACACGACTTCTACATAAATCAATTTTATCAGACAAATAGTACATAGAAGCAAATCTTGATGAANATTTATAGGACTTTTTATATATAAATAAATGTATATATATATATACTGATAAAACATCTTTTTAACAAAACAGAGCTAAATGAAGATAGTTATTTTAAAATTTCAACCGGCGATTTTCCGGTATTTACCGGCCCGGCTGGACCGGGACCGGTTCCAGCCCTGGTAGTCACTAGCAAACCGTTCAGATCACGATTGTTTCCTGTTTCTACTTGAAAATTTACTAACCATACTGTCTAGATCTAAATTTGTCACGCAAAATTTATTTCATAAATTAATACCTTCAGTAATATCGGAGTTTGGCTTCTACAACACTATAAAATCAATTGATTGATCTTATCTATCGAAGAAAAATGTATTCTTCATTGATATTAGTGAATAAAGAAAGACATCTACAAAGAAATAGTGAATTCATTTTTGCCATAGTATTATCAATAGATTAGTTGTATTTTTTTTAAACAGATTTTAGAGTATAGCTTTAAGTACTCAACCTATTATATTCTACCCATGAAATCAGTTGGTTAGGATTGTTCAAATGAGATCAGTTAACTTATATTTTATCAATTTTTTTATGTTGATATTTTATGAAGAAAATCATTTATATCTAAACGATTGATAGTATAAAATATTAAAAAATAAAGTATTAACAAAAACCAAATGTCATAGCTTCAAGATTCCATAATAAAATTAGATTTTACACAATTTATTCAGATTAACGTTCATTCGAGAGAATGAATGATTTATGCGACAATATTAAATACCATATGCATATTTTAAAATTATAATGGGTAAAAGAAAAGAACTATTTCCAAATATACAGTATACATATATTTCTTTACATGCTAACAATGAATTATTATGAGAATCATTATTTTCAATAGCATTATTATATCGCTTTATTTTTCTCTAAATAATCTATATAAAATAAACTGAGAATAAATAAAACACTTTTAATTTTAATGACATCTCATCAGGTTGAATGCTTATTTTTCCTGAGCAATATTGTAACCATTATGAACAAAATATAACAGATATCTATTTTTATGATGCAAAACTTCATAATCAAATGACGAGAAGAAATATTGTTTGTACTTAGTATCTGAACCTCATCATCGGTGTCTTTATTTAGATTGCAAATAATAAGTGTCACTGTATTAAACATTTCACTAACTTTTTTTTTTCAAAATATATGAAAGAAGAAAAGTTGCTTTTTCTAATTTTCAGTTCACTTCAGAGGTTTAATCAAGTGAAGTAAAAAGATATATATTAACAAATTCTTACTTGGAATTAATTTTGATCTGATTAGAAAGTATGAGTTTAAGGTCATTATTTTTCGTTCGTTTATTCTTAATTTTACTCAAAAATACAAGAATACCAACTATTCGTATACTTGAATACACCTCATTAACGTGAAATAATCCTCCTTGTTCTTTTGGTGATCGATTGATAAAATACTCAATGATACTCGATTCATTTAAGCTTCTTTGTAAAAAAAATCTTAACTATGCATAACGATAACAAGTTTATTGACGAAAAAGAAAAAGATTTCTATATTAATACAATGAATGTGTTTGATTTGTCCTTGGTGTTTTGATCTTTTCTAAATTTTTCATCAAAAGATCATGAACACTCGTCTAAAAATAAACAAAAAAGTATGTAATTGAATTATTTTTAGAAAACCAATTTTCATTTACATAGTGATTTCGAAGTTCAAGTGCAATGAAACGTAATGAAACAAATTGTTTTTCATCTAATGATTGAACACTACGACGATAATCTTCTACATGAGGGTATTTAACAACTTTTTTAATAAGTTCTCCACGAGATATTAAATATTTGCACGTTAAATCAATATATTGTGTTACTTCTGTTTCGATTGTTCGAACTTCAGCCAATGAATCCTATTTGAAGAACATAAATTTCAAAAATCTTGAATAGTATTTTTCATTTGAAATCCTCACTTCTTGTATGCTAACACCGAAATTATTTCCATCTTCAACTTTCGGTATCATTAATTGTATCCATAATTTAATAATTGCAACCTACATAGAATGTGCATAGATGTATATGTCGAGCAAAATTAAAATAATTCACATACACTGTCGAGAAAATGAAGAATATATGGTCTGAGTTTATCTTCAAGTGTTGATATAAGTCGATTTGATGGAACATTACCGTTGAATTCATAGACAGAAGATTGAATAGAATCAGGATTATCATTTGAATCTGCTTTATGCTTCTTTATCAAACAACCATTATCAGTGTTAATTTCTGGTGTAGAATTATGATGATCCTTTAATTTAAAAAGAAAATGATCAAATTTTATTATTGACATAGAAACGATCTCCTGATACTAAATTAATCTGCGTACCAATATGATTGAAAAACAAACGAGAAAGTTTCTTAATGTATTATTAAGCATTATCAATGGATGTTCATAGGTGAAAGAAACGTAGTGATTTCTATCTTAATGAAAGACTGAATCGAACTCAATTCTGCTAGTTCAATTTCAGTCGAATATTTCGAGTCCTTCAGCAAGATGCGTAGATGATAAGTCAACATTTAATTCTTGGATATAGTCAGAAATTTTTGCATAGGATTTAAAATTTGCATGCTTTAATACTGGTCATCATATCACTAGTGACTAAATTAACGTAAAATGTTGAAGTTATGGAGTAAAGAAGATAATGTCATGTTGAAATGATCTATCTCTATAAGTAGCTACCATTAGTTGAAGTATACATCAAGTCAAGAATTTTTCGCTGAAATTTTCAGCTTTTCTAAAAATTGATATCTCAAGAAATTATTTTCCATGTAAAACTTTCATCTGCTCATCTATCATAATATCAAAAACTAGTTTAATTTGTTCCGGTTCGTTTGCAGTCTCTCATTCTTTCCTCCCTATGTCAGGTGTAATCGTGCAAGATCAATGCTTGTTGAATTTGTGTCACACATAATCATCGTATGTCATTTTATTGATAGTGTAAAAAATATGGTTTGGATCCTCATGAGCCTACACACCTGTCAATGGAAGTAACTCAACCGATTTCGACTAAACCGGACTACAAAAATAGCGATAATATCATACAAAAAATACAACGAATAAATTGATTCTGGACTAGAAGAAAATCTTGTAAATAGTTCTATTGAAAATATTAGTAGGAAATTCAAGTCGATAGCTGAATAAATATCAATGTAAAAATAAATTTAAATCGATGCTCATAATGCTTTAGTTTATTTCTGATAGAAAAAACTTACATCAGTCGAACGGATATTTTTGCCATGTTTTAAATGTGCAATAATATCATCAGCTGTTGGTAATTGAATTTCCGTACGAACTTTCGATACTTGACTAAAGGACAACATTGGACTCTAAAGAGAAAAGGAAAATAATAGATGCCATCACATTTTAATAAAACAAACAAACCGAAACAAGTGTATCAAGTTCGAGAGCTTTTTCGGGAAATTCATTTCGAATTAAATGTTCACCTGAATTCTTAATTTTTGTTGAATAACCGTCCATGTTTATACTTAATTATTTCTTTATAAAATGTTATCTGTAAAAACAAAGGCAAAATTATTTGCTATAAGAAATTTTTAAACAAAATAATATCATAGTTTTTTGCACTTCTCGAAATAGTTTATCTCTTCACTTGCCGAATGTAAGTGTGGATCATATTAATCAAGATTATTCTTCATATTACCGGGGACATTGGAATTTTATAAAAGTTAGAACAAACTCATTCATTCAAGTATTAAACTATGAGTGATTTATGTACGATTAAGATCATACACAAGTCATTTTTCTGTACTATTTATTCAAGTTATAATAAAATGAAAGATGAAAGCAAATTTAAATACAGTTAACCTGTGATAATTATCTCAATGAAAAGAAAAGCATACATATTACAAAAGAAAAAATGCGAATTTTTTCTTCATTCTTTTGATTGCTCAGTATTTTTCTTTTTCCGACGTTGAGCGTTTTTCTTTCTCGTTTTTTTCCGTTTCTTCTTGTCTTGATTCGTTTTCTCGTCCTGTACAGCAACATTTCGTTGCTTTCGATGTGGTGGAATTGTGATATCAATGTCATAGAAACCTTCGATAAACAATAAAAAGAAAAGATTCAATTAAAAAAATCATTTCATCAATGAAAATTCATTACGTTTATTTCGTGGACAAAATGTTAATGGAATACGTTCAAAATCAAGATGAAACGGTAATAGAAGAGTTGGTGTTAATGGGATCCATGGTACAGTAATATGATCAGGTTCAATAAGAAGTTCGTTCGATTCAAATGGTTCAGAATGAAGATCAAATGCTTTTCTGGCGGAAAAAAACGTGCAAAAATAAATACAAAAGTTATTCAAACTTCAGAGAACTACTATTTATGCATATTTGCAAATCGATATTCATAATCAGGAATTCTGAAACAATGATAGTGCCTGTCTATATTGTGAGCTTATTCTTCTAAAAAATGGTCACAAAACACACCCTAGTTTACAGCACAATATGTTGTATCAATAATATAGAAAGTTTTATTTTTATCTTTTGATTTGTTTAAATATTGAAACTTTTCTAGCTGAATAAAATGAGTAGAGAACATCCGAATGATTAAAATACTCGGTAATTATTTGAGAAATATTTTCAAAAGTCAAGATTCTTACTCAGTGCATTCTTTTGACACTATTTGATAAAGATTAAGGTTATTTTCATTTAATGAACATGATAGCAGATAATTGTTTGGTTCCAAACTAAACAAATATATTATAGATATTGTTCAACTTTGGAAAACAATGAAATCATTTCTCTGTACCTTTGTAAACCATATAATAATCCATAAGTTTTTGTAATTGGTTTTAACATACTAAATAAAAGTATAATTGAATAGAACGAAAAAGAAAAGTATTAAAATATCTTACTCAATTTGACATTCTTTAAGATTTTTGTCAATATTGTCATAAGTCATTTTTTCTATTTTAAGTAAATGTTGAGTAAATACATTTATTCGACCTAAGAATCACTTATTTTGTTTTTAATCGAAAGAAAAGTTTTTTTTTAAAGTAACTTACCAAGAAGAACAGTCGCTCCATGTCGCAAATAAGATTCGAACCAAATTAAGCGATATTCTTTATCTGTAATTTGTTCGCAACCAAATTGTGGTTGATATTCAAGTTTTGCATAACATGTTGTTATTTCGTCATTCGTATTATCATTAGCAAGTACATGACGACAAAATCCATGATAAGAAGAACGAATAAGTATTTGAACTGTTCCTAATTGCCATAAACAATATTCATAATTACCTTGAATAGGTGTAGCAAGTTTAACACGACTAACAACAGGCACTAAAATTATTAAATTTCTACTTTAGTTTGTCTTTCTTATTTCTGATGATTAGCTAACCTGGTGCGCCTTGATTATTATTCGACGTATTTTCTGAATTATTTGTTTCTCGTTCTTGAAGAATAGGTGCTGAATGAATAAATTTTTGTTTAGATTTATTGAATAGTTTTTGTTGTTCCTCAATGTCAGCACCTACATAATGAGAATTTTTATAGTATCATTTTCTCTTTTTCATAAAAACTTACCTGTACTAATAATCATTGCATCCTCGTCATCTTCATCTTCATCGTCGGTAACTTTTTTCTCTTCTTCTTGATCAGTTTGTTCAATTAATGGCTTTTCGATCGATTTATTTTTCATTTCAGTTATTTCAAATTCTGTTTTATTATTAAAACTAGAGTAGTTAAATTGATTATCAGTTGTTTCTCGTTTTCCTCCAGTTGTTGATAATAATAATGAACGAAATGATCGTTGAAAAAATTTATAATTCAATTCTCGTTTTGTATAACTACGTTGACGTAACGGTTTATCAATAAAAATTATTTTTTTCTTATTTGGAATAGAATTAGGATTATCTACTGTTTCTAACTGAAATTCTCGAACAGACATAGGTAAAGTCATCGGTGATGATGATGGCGATGTAGAGAATAATTCAATTAACAGATAAAAACTTGATTTTGAAATTACAATGTCAATTGTTGGATTTTGAGATAGTATAGCCAGAAGGTTTGGATCATCCACCAGGTTCTATAATAAGCAAAAGGTGAATTGTGATAAATTTATGTTTAAAATAGATAGAACCAAGTTTTTTATAAAGAATCAAATGACTCTAAATGAAGTTATTGTTGAATAAGAATGACTAGATAATAAATCTTCAACAATAGAGAACTATTTTTACTCATCGACATAGTCATGCAAAGTAAACTTGTCTTACTGAAGTGGTATTATGGTTCAGACAAATGTTTTACTAGAAAAAAAGAATAGACCATTGCAGAGAGTATCTCTAGCTAATCTTGTTTTTTTTTTTAAAGATTTTATGAAAATTTCAATTATACTAATTTCTTTTATATTCTTCAGAGAAAACTACGCCTATGTGTGCTATGTGATACGTCTTCAATATGATTCGATGAGTATAACATTGAATATAAAATCCTTATTTTCATCCTTGAACGGTCCTAAATATTCATGTGTTGAAAACTTGAACTGCACTGAGCAGTACAATTTTTTCCAATCTACATTATTATAATAATCATAGTTTTCTATGATTACGATTGTATCTTCTGAAGAAAGTATACTACTCTTAATTTACTCAGAATAACCATTACATGCATGTCGATCATTTCACTATGTTCTATCAGGTTTCGTCTGTTAAAAATTATCTAGAAAACTTACAGTTAATCGATAGTTTGGATTGAAACGATTTGTTACAACTCGATCATGATTATCACTACACTTAATATTCATTTGTTCAATATTTTGTGGAATGGTGAGTAAAGATATTGTGCCCTGAAATAAAAAGAAAATTTAATTATACATAATATTACACTAAATATGAACACTAACCACACGCAAAGCAGTAGACAAATTAACAAATGTAATAGGTGTCAATGAATCATAAGAATTCAATGGAATAGACATACGCTGTGCATAATGTTGTCTGATTAATTTTGTTTGTTTGATCAAAAAATCAGTTTTACGTTGAAGCCATGCCTATTTATATTAAAAGTATAAAATTCACTTTAGATTGATTGAAAAAATGATAATTACTTGCATAAATTGGTTGATCGTTAATTTTACTGCTTCATAATCTCTTGTTACATGTTTTACAGCATATTCTTTCGCATATTCGTTAAACATTCGATGTTCATTCAGCAGTAAACCATTCATTCTCTAATCAGAACATGAAATTTTCTTTTTTATTTAGTATAAATAATCATGAATTCATTTATTTTTTACTTTCATATTTTTTCCTCGATTTGTTTTTTTATTCGATTCTTTTTCAAGATCATTAATTAAATATCCATTATTAATATCATAGAATAAATATAAACCCATTCGATGTTGTTCAAAATCAAGTGATGATAATTTATCAGCAAAATAATCCAAATGAAATGGATACAAACGATTAATATGTGAACGAAATTGAGCGGCTGAATATAATTTTATTTCACGTGGCTCATTTTTATCAGGAGACACTTCAGAACCTTTGCTACTGATTGGATTTGATTCAGAAGAATTTTTTTTTGGAACGACTGATATTGTGGGCAACACTGAAAAATAGAAAATAAAGTAAAATATTACGAACAGTATTAGAAAAATGACTTGAAATATCTTGAGTAATTTTTCGAAAAAAAATGGAATTGTTAATCCATTGATCATGTTGTTCAAGTTTAACCGACGTTTCACTAAAAGTAAAGTGGCAACGAGAAATACATAGATAGAAATCATGAAAAGAAAACTACTTTTGATTATCATTATCGGTTTGTTTGAAGACAGGAACAATATTGTCGATATTAACGGATTTTGATGAATCTGCCATTTCAAAAATGAGAGAGAAATTGCATAATTGGATGACATTATAAGTACGGAGAACTGTAGAATATCTTTGTTCGTTCGAATTAATTTCACGGATTCGTCTTTTTTCTCATTGGTTGCTTTACACTCACCAAATGAAATGAAATGACTAGTTGTCGCCTCTGAATCAACAACAATATTCTAGTTTCGTAGCAGATAATAACGTTTATGGTATGTAATAAGATATTCTTCAAGAAAAATGTAGCTAATGGATTTTAGCAGTGACGAAAATATGAGAATGAACTTTTGTCATAGTGTTTCTTTCCTTTTTTTTTGTTTCTTCTTGTCATATTTCGCGTTCAAAACAGAGATGTTAGAAATGCTACGTATTATTCCAACGTGTTTGGTTGATTATGAAATCCAATCTATGCGAATGTTTGGGGAGCAGTTCAAGTGAAATAGAGTAAAGTTGTACCTACTCCTAATAAATAGAAACTATTCATTAATACCAATTTTGTATAATTTATCAGTATCTCTATGAAGGTTCTTTTGCAAGCATAATTTTATACTCGCCGATGCCACGGCACTATTTCCAGCGAACATAAGCTCTACCAAAGAAAAGTCAAGCAGAAACTTCATAATTTCTTGTTAAAATGTTAAAATCTGTTAATTCTATAGATTGAAGAAGCACTATGACATGCTTCACAATGGAAAACGTATAGAAATTAAATTTCATATGTTATTATGTGAAGTCTACACATGATTAATGAAGAAATTGTCAAATTAAAAATAATCAAAATATAATAATTGTTGTCTGATGAATTCACAATATTCTTCCCATTCTCTCTTTTTAATCGTGAAAATGTTTATTTCGATTCTGATCGTTTTCTTTTCAGCTCATTTATAGATAACAATAAGCTGAGACAAAATGTCATAGACAAAGAATTAGTTCTCTTAAAGAATTAAATCAGCTTACTATAAGATTTTGGTGCATCATTATTGATTATTTGGTGAAATGCGATGAAAATGAGTTAGTCGTATTATTAAGTTCTCTAGTTTTCGAATGAAATACATGTTCTAAAGACTAGCACTATTTGTCTTGTGCATATCGAAATTATTCTTCATGTAAGACAAATTTGAGATCTTAGAATAGAATATGGTAAAACAGAATCCTTTTTTTGGATTAATTCAAAAATATCTCTATGTTGCTTGATGCTACATATCTCGAATGCAAAGCAGAAGTAGACAGTCATCATCCTCATCATGAAATCAGCGACACACTTTGACGATTATATGTATTTACACGATTGAGAGTCCGCACCGTTTTGAATGATCGTGTTTTTTTAAATGAAATATCAAACAGCAATCCAGACCGAAAGATTTAGTGATGTCTCCTTTTAGAAGAAATAATTTAAAATTTCACTATGTAGTTTCTCTCTGTCTCTGTCAAACTTATTTGTACACTCCGTATGTAACCAATTCTGCACACCAAGAAATCAAAAACCTCGTCAGTCACTGGAAATCGATGTCCATCTGTGCAAGACATTCTAGGTGAAGAGTATTTAATGATTAATATGCTTAAACAGGTAACGAATCACTAATGATGAGTTCAGAATTTTAGAAGAGTAAACAATATCATATAATAAAAGCCATATGATGACCAAAACCATCTAATTCTTCAATTGATTCAACAAGATCTTTTTGTAGTAGAATTTTCTGTAAGCAGTATGAAACTGAATTAAAGTATATATTCTTTTGTGAAACACTGTGTTGATTGACAGTGTCAAAAAACACCATACGAAAACATGTCAGATTAGCAATTATCAACAAAGGAAAATTCATTTTATAAAAGTACTATGCGAGAATCATTCAATAGATGTGATACAGTTTCAATTTATCCCTACATATTCAACAGCCACAAAGTCTAATAAAAATGTGTACTTCAACTTTTGAACCAAATAATTTATACAAAGTCGGTATTATACTTGTGCAATAGATCTATGTAAACTCGAGTGTTCCTCGTAAATATATATACGCCTCTCAACCAAATGTTCTCTCATCAATGAACTTAGTCGATTATGTGGAAAACGACAACGTGTACATTGAACTGTGGCCAAATTCTAGTTGAAATTAATATTAAATATTTTTAATTTTCATCGACATACTGTATAATGAGAATTATAACAAGTCATAATTCCTCGTAATATGACATCAATAGTTCTTTCTTAATCTTATGACTGCGTTGTCAATGCTTTCAGTATCTTTGCCTAATTTCCTGGCTCAAAATACGATTTCCATGTCGTAGAGCTTCGAAAGGAACGTGGAATAGAATACAAACTAGGTATATTGGTATCAGCCATGCGTTGCGTTAGTGTATGAACCGGTATTCTTGAAATATGACCGAGAAAGATTCTCAAAGATCTGCAATATTTTGTATAACGTTATTTAAGAAAGTCAACTGCATGAAATCTGCTCTATAAGATTCATCTTTAGTAAGGACAGTTATCAACAGTTTAATACTAATTAATATTAAGCGTATTTACTTTCGTTTATATAGAACGCGTGCACATTTTTAATATTTTGAAATAATATGCATAAAAGATAGACCTTCAGTTACAGACCACGAAGGGATGAAATGTTGAAAGGCAAAATTTTGAAAATCTTTTTCTTTTCAAAATTCATAAAATAATGCCGAATTGATAGGTTTCATTTTTTGTCAATAGTTTTTCATTCAATTTTCGTCGCTCTTTCATGATTAGTTCATGAAAAACTTGTAATCGACGTATATTTTGTGGCTACGAATTGAAAATTTTTGGATACTTTAGTAGTCTCGTTGATCTGAATAGCTAATCAGTTTACGGGGCATCACGAATCATAAGTCCGTCGCTGTTTTGGTGCGTTTTCAACAAATTCAATCTCTTTTTTTATTTACTTCATAATATTGAGTGATAGAACATGGATGAAAGAAAACTTATGAATTCAATTTAAAAAAACACACATGTAAAACTCGAAGTATTCCATAATTTCTATATAGTTTTTATATAAAAACATTGAGTTTAGCGAAAAAATAAAACCACTATCAGTAAAATAATATTGATCAAGGAGGCATTCCGACTTACGGCTCGATTACAATAATCTGTATCAGAACAACAATAACGGACACTGCTACCAACACCGGCTCCAGCTGTACATGTTCGACCACCAGCCATACGTTCTACATAAGTCGGATAAACCACTTTCTAATCAATGCGCAATAAAACCTATAGAATGGAGCATAGAGATAATAACGTACCAAGCAATATGTATTTCCTGGAACCGGTAGGTCACCTGATGTAGACTCATCGTACGGATCATTGCATCCTGAATTACTCCAACCAACACAAGATATACAATTTATTCCATTTGTCCTTGGAATTAAGGCTAAGCGGATTTTTATTTTGAGTTTTGTTTTATTGAAAAATATCTTACCAAATAGAAATATAGACCATGAAATCAAAAAACTCATTGTTTCTTTCTGTCTATAATGCTTGTTGGATCATGCACTGGTGTGTCGCAAGTAAATAATTGAAAGATGAAATAATTGAATTTCATTCTTCTGTATTTAAGATCTACATGGAAATTGTAAGATTTTTTTTTCTGATTTTTTTCTGTCCTTATTCGCATACTCTTCTACAAATAAAAATACCAAAAGCAAACTGTAAGACTTCTTTTCTTATCGGTTGACTATTGTACCCCTTTTTTGAACAAAAACACTCCACCATCTATATTCTATGAAAACTCAGACAGAGATAGTTAGTACAAGAGAGAAAGAGAGATAGTTAGTACTAGAAAGAAAGAAAGATAGAGAGAGTTAGTAAACAGAACAATTCATGTTCCTTCGACCTGTGACAAGAGACATGAAGAGAAAACTGCATAGGAGAAGAATAGAAGTGATGATATGATCTCACGAAAAGGTGAAGATCATAACACAAACATCTTTCCTCATTTATTTGCAACCTAGAAGTACAAAGAATATTCTAGAATGATGATTATAGCTATGACGTATCATCAGCAACAATAAATGAATAATCTCATGATTCTCTTCAGCTCCCGTAACATATGCGTATAATATGAACACATGTGTCTAAATTTGTTTTGAAGTACATTATGCTATGCTGCTTTTTTAAATTGCATCTTATTGAAGATAGCTTCATGCAGGATTATTTATAGCACACCCGATATAAAACAGTATGCATACATTAGATACAAAATACTGCACGTCTTTTAACTTTTATAGTCGTGATATACAATGAAAGAAATTGGCTATCGGGCGGCATTGGCCTGAACAAGATAATGCTCTAGCACTTATATATTTCATTGATTGCTATAAAAGCGAAGATATATTATTGTTTTAATAAATTTCCGTTATAGAGATTTGAATATTGAATCTTAAGTTTTGAAACAATCTGCAACATTGTACATTCGATCATCTACAAGAAAATTTTCAATGAATAGTTTTCCTTGATATATATAAAAGAATTGCAATTATCGATGTTTAGTGCTATCATCATCGTTACGATAAAGAGTGAGATTCATGAAATCAGTCAAATAGAAAAAATTACAAAGGGATAGCTTAGCTTTTTCCTAACTTTCGCGTTTTTATGTACTTAGTGCAAACAAGTATTATTGAAAATACTAAATAAATAATATTCTCGACGATGACCCGCAAAAATAGAAGGAAGCAGTCGTGCAAACGTAGATACTTTATAAGAGCAAATGAAGGTTGAAGTTCGAAATGGGACTTGTTGTAAAATTAAAATAAACATAGAAAAGAATCTTGCAAAAAGTAACAGTTTTGGTTTTAAAATGCAAATTCCACAGAGAATAATGCCATTGATTTCATGTACGTTGTCTTACTTCATGACAGATGGTTATTCCGTTGAATGTTAGAAAATATCGAAGCGTAAAAAAGAAAACGATCAATCGAATTGAAAATGAGTCACTTATGAAAATCACTTTTACGAACAATCATTGCTTGTAGTGGCCACGTAGCATTGTAAATTTAAACCCTCTTTTTTCTAATAGAGACATTTGAAAAGATTTCAATCTATTTGAAACCTTTTAAATGTTGAATATTTATAGTGAAGAAAAAAATAACTCGATAGGCTTCTCCAGTTCAAATCAAAAGATCTTGCTTAGTGACAAATATTAGTTGTGCGTTATTGCTCTTTCTTATAAAATCATTGAAAACAAAATTCTGTCACTAGAGAACAAAATAGAAACCTTTGCATTATCAGTAAGAAGAACATAGTCAAAACAATTTCAATGTAAATATATAAGCAATATAACAGACATTAACAATATCTTTTCAAACAGATTGGACTTCAAAACATTGGAATTAAAAACTTGTTAAACCATACTTTACAGAGTCCATCATCATTAATTATTACTCATATAATAATGATTACCACATTCAGATGAATAATTATAATGCGAAAAAATTGACTTGAGTTTGGTCACTATAAGAATTTCTCTTTAAGTAATAATTACTGTAAAAAAATACATACGAGATAAGGAAAATATTCAAATATGTATCAACATTTATGATTAACAGAAGACAACATTTCTTGTGTCTATCAATTCTAATGAGAGCTTTTGTGTACATATACGCCATTCGCTCACAGACAGAAAACAAAAAATATATAGTTACAACCTAAAAACTATTCACGTTTGGGCATTAGGTAATGTTGATGCTTGCTTTTGTAGATTTTTGTATTCTTGCAAACCTTCACGAACAGCAGTTTGATTGTTTAACTTGGCTTTATAATCATCGCTCAATGGATTGACCGGTCTGTCTATAATATTGTCGCTAAAAACAAATAATAAGAAACATACAAAAAAGAAATTTATTGTTGAAAATATTAGCAAAAAAGAGTAAGTCATTAAAAGAACCATTTAGTAAAAGTGGATATGTGAGATTTTCATCTGGACCGATGTCTTATCACCTCATTTCTATTGAATTTTGCTCGAACAATTGAAGTCATATCAATAAGATAGTATTTAGTAGTTGGATTATCTCTGTCCATTTGTAAAACATCAATAAAATTTACTATGATAAAATACTTACAAATCATAGATATTAAGTTTCAGAGTATGTAGTTAAAAACTAATAGGCCTATGTAAATACGTATAGTCGAATAGTAGACTTTAATAATACAAGTAAAAACACCTTAAGGAAATATACAGTGTACAGACTTTGTCTCGGTCTTTTGTACATTTTTATATATTCGTCAACACTATTTGTCAATATTGAGTTTGTATGAGTTTTTCCTACATAGGAAATTACAAAAAAAGAGTTTAAAAAACTGCAAGGTGAACTTAAAGATATGGTCTATGAAGCGTAAAATGAGTTAGTCACAACTTTGAAAAAAACATTAGCAAGGTTTAATCAACAATTGGTATTTTTGTTTGTAATTTTTTACGTGTATTATTAGTGTGCATTCTTTTACTATTCATATTGCATACAAGTTAATTATTTCTAACAATAAACTATATTTTTATCGCATTTCTGATAGAGAGGCTAATATACATTAACGATGTAGTTTATTATACTATTTATAGAAGTGTCACTTTCAATTGGCGTTGAATTTAATTATTTAGGTATGGAATGAATACATTTCTCTTCAGAAGCATCAAGTCTTTCGCTGAATAAAAGAGCATGGGAATTGATGAGAATAGTTAAATGTAGACTCAAGTTTCAAAGAAAAAGTGTTCATTCTATATTTGGATTGGTTTAAAACAAAATTAATAATATTTGACTAATATAAAACAAACAATTTTCTAGATACACGAATATCTATTCAAGATTTGAGTTATTCAAGAGTTTAAAACTCACATAATATCGATGACCCAATCTCGAAAGAATGGTAAAAGCTGATCATCCATAGCAGGAAGTACAACGAGACGCTAGAAAATAAAGATATAAGAATGAATTTAATCGATAACTAAATATCTAACTTTTAATTCCGCTCTAACTTTAGCTGCGAGCAAATCTTGCAATAATATATAGGAATATTGTTTTGCACCGCATGTGGGTGTTACTTTGATATTCAGATCAGGCATGTCTGGAAATCCCACCCTGAAAAAATATTTTCAACAATTAGTTAAATGAAACAAAAAAAATATTTACCAAATTCGATCACTTGGTGGTGGAGGAATGTTAAGCTAAAATAGATTTTCATAGTAAAACAAACAAAAGAAGAAGATCTTCTCGAGAATATAAAATAGTCCACTAACCGTTAGAACACCACTAAAACTAGTTAGTTCGATGTCAATGCCAATGTCTTGCTGAGAAAATTTCTCGAATAATGTTTTTATAAATGGTAAATTCACAAACATTTGAAAATATTTGTTCATAACTAAACTAGTCAAAGCAGTACCAAGTTTGCGTGTTGTTGTTCTGGAATAAAACAAACATTTATTTCATTTCAATCTATTTGAATTCATGCTAATCTATAAAGTACTTTTCTGACACTGCAGGTTCTTCAGCTAAACGTTTTTGGTTTTGTATTAAGCTATCTGCATTAACTTGTTCATCATCTCGATGAATAGTTGAAGATGTTTTGTGTTGAGTCAATATTGATTTATCATTGTTTGAATCATAATTGATCAATTTTTGTAGAGCAAGACGACTTTTTATTGATAATCTATATCGAATTATTAAGATAATATAAGATCAAATGCTTTTAAACTATTCAAGAAACAATTTTCTAATTGCAATCAAGTATTTGAATTTTAACGTAAATGGCATAGAAATATTGTGTAAAGATAACTAAGGTTTTATTTTACAGAGAAAGCTATTAGAACATCCAAAACAAAACAAAACAATTTCTAATGTTCAACTTACTTGAAATGACCGCGATAATAGAGAAATAAATTGAACCAAATACCTTGTGTATTCCATTGCATAGGTTCAATTTTCAATATAGTCGGAAATGAATTGCCTAAGTCAATAGATACAACACGAAGATTTTCAAGTATGGAAACCTGAGAAATAAATGAATCAACAAATATATTATTTTGAAATAATTTAGAGTTCTAGTCTACTATTTACAAATATGTACAACTAAAAACAGATGTTTTCGTTGTAAAAAAAACAGCTTTGAGCAACAAAACTCAACTTTTAATTGATAAATAAAAGATAACTTACAGCAATTTCTTTCAATTTCAGTTCAACTTTATTTTTTAATAAATCTTTAAAAACCGGAGTATCAAACATATCACATAAAAGTCGACGTGTCATGAAATTGAGAGTAATTGCTGCTTCGTCTAAACATTCAGATGTTTGAAGAATTTTTTCTAAATTAGCTTCATTGCATGTTAAGTTTTTTGATTTTCTTGTAATCGTTCGATGTATTTCACTAGAATCTTTTTCTGTATTTTTGGATTCTTTCGCCTTGAATATCAAAATCAAAATCAAACAGAAATATTAATAGGCTAGAATGAAAATTCGCTCATGAAATTATTTATTGAACATACTTTCAATTTTGATTGTAGTAGCTCTTCGGCATTGATTTGTGTTTCAATTATTGAAGAACGAATATGAGTTTCGTTAGTTGAATTCGAAATAAGTACTGCGTCAGCACATGTTTGAGTTTGACGACGATTTATATAGAAATTAGATGTTGACGATGATACACAATTGTTACTGGTTGTAAGAAGATATTTGAATCTTTCAATATCTTCTTTTCCTTTACTCAAAACTAAAGAGAGTCTAGAATAGACACACAAAAACAAACTATTTAGTATGTAGACTGCAGAAAAAGTATTGAAAAAAATGCTGACTTATGAAACCATTCTTCTTTTTGTGGACCAGTTTCGAACCAAATTGAGAGAATCGTTGCGTTATTGTTGAAAAAGTCGTTTGTGTCCAGTTTAGATTTTTCTAATTGCTGCTTATTATAAATTTGTTTATCAAGAATTTGTAAACCTTTTATGACTATAGGATAATCGTTCATCCAATATTTACTACGTGTTAAAGTTGCTTCGGGTACGAGTATCATTCGAGCTTCTGAAATTTTATGAAAAAGAATTGATTTATGTGGAATTAATTATCTTTTTGGTTTTACTAATACTTGCCTTTAATCAGATACTCTCGGCATCCAATAAACTTTATCTCTTTGTCGGATTTTTTTTCGTCACTCCAAGGTTTACTGGCAAGTTGAATAATAAGACGATATCCATCAAGACGAACATCACACGGATAACGGACGAAGTCATCATCACGATCAGCATCATAGCTGTGAAAACTCAGGGAAGCACCGGTTACCTTAACGAAGAATTTCAATAAATTTAGTTGTCCAAACAATTTTCTTTGAGCAATTCGTTAGAATTGTGTTACAATATACTATGTTTTTCATATGTTCATATTTTATCAATCAAATAGGCAAGCAGCATATTCTCATCGTAAAATTCTCCTGACAGTAGGTAACAAAAGATTATTTTCTTTTACTGCAATTGATTTTCCAGAATATTATCTATGAATAGAGAGTTGTCTGCCACGTGGGACGGGATGGGGCGAATATTTTTAGAAAATTTTAAGCAGACAAGAAAGAATTGAAGTCTCTTTCAAGGTGATTCTATTATATGCTTACTATCTTTATCCATTAAAATTATATTTATTGGCGTAAGTGACCGCTTTCAAATTTTATTCTCATATTTTAAAACATTTTCGGTATATGTTGTTCAATTTAGCAAAAATGTTTTTAAAAAACGAATACAAGCTTTTAAAAGCCATCTAAGACAACGACCTTAATCTTAATGGATAGCGATAGTATGCATATCATAGAATCATATCGAAAGAGATTTTGATTCTTTCTTGTCTGCTTAAAATTTTCTAAAAATGTTCGTCCCATGATGGGGCGTCCCACGCGGAGAGCTCTGACTTGAATGGTCCCTAAGAAGAAAAAGCATGAAAAAAATCTAAATTTACTTGTATATAAGTATTTTTGTCTTCTTTATCGACTTTAGTCAGCATAGAATCAAGTGCAGGAAAATCGATCCATTCTTCTACGACAGTTTCTTCAATTTTGGAATTCATAAACATTCGAAAACATATGTACAAGAGTGCTATAGCAAATAGACTGCCAACCAAAAATCCAGAGAAAAACGGTGAAATCGGTTTCCATAATGTAATTGTCAGAGAAACGACGCCAACGACAATCTAATTAGAAAAATAATTTAATTGATGAATAGATTTCACAAATTATTTTCTTAATTTGTTTTTTGGCAAATTCAAAGATACAAAGGTTGTTCTGACAAAGTCATTTTATGCTTACCGAAATTGTATAAGTACCATCACTGTTTAATTTTAACTTTTTCTTTGGTATTGCTTTACTATTCAATCGAAATTTAGGCCCAGTTAGGAGCATAGCTGATCTTTTTACTGCATCTGACTGTACAGTAACAATAGAAGATTTTACATTCATATCGACAGAATCGATTTTTGTAATAGAACGTTCTTTTACGCCAGCAACTGTATCTTTTGAATTATCTGTGATTGTGGATATGTCCTGGGTTGAATCGAATTTTCTTCGTGAATTTGAAGATGTTATAATTGATGAATGAGCAGTACTACTTGAACTCAGTGAAGATGTCGAGCTTGTCGTTGTTGCACTTGATAAACTAGATGTATTGGAAACATTTGATTTAATACCACCAAAATCCATATTCAAATTGAAATGATCCACAGCATTAGCTGATGACGCAAGCGTTGACATTGATTCATTATCATCTTTAAAAAAAAAGATTACAAATGTAAAGGAAATCATTTCATCGTGTCTATATTTGGTAAGATATATCTCCAAAGAAGATCTTTTACATTTTTATGATATCTTTACACTCTAATGATCATTGTTCAGTACTACATATCGAAATACCACTATCCTGTATTGTTCTTTTACTATGAAAATGACAGCGTTAGATCTATGGCAAAAAAGAAGTTTTTTTCAATGGGAACACGAAAGAGACATGATTATTATCATCTCATTCTTTTTGTGTTTCAATCTTCTTTAAACAAATTCCTATAAATTTGAAAGTTATCGAATATGTTAACTTCGTTTCGATAATTTCATTGGTAATTTACTTAAGATAATTAAAATAACTCATTGAATACAACGGATCATTTCATTATCAATGTAAAAATATTCTATCAAATATTTATTATCTTCATTAAACTATACTTGGCACACTCCGTGCTAATATGTGTCATCGATAAAAACTTGCATTTAGCTGCTCAGTTGAGATATTTACAATATTGAATTATTAGTTTATTTTATCTACTTACGATGTTTTTCTTAGTCTTCGTTGCGCATTATCAAGGAAATTCCAGATAATCAAATTTACTATTTCGTGAAAGCGAGTCGATCTCTATTCAATTAAAACATTTATATTTTCTGGATTTATGAGAAATATGCGTGTACGAGTCTAACATGCACTTATCTCAACGAGATCTTTTTGGTATCTATTTGGCATTTGCCGTTCTATGCGATGCGATCGGAAGAAAAATTACAGTATTTTTATTGTGAAATATTAAGAACACATGCGTTAGTATTTTATACTAAGGCTATTTTGCTTTTAAATTAGAAAAAAAACCGAAGAATACGATTATTACTACGCATACGTCTAAAGTTGCCAATTTATACTCACCAGACATGTTGGATAATTGTGTTGCATGTGTCATTATAGATGGAGCATCATCTTGCAATGTAAATGCGACATTACTCATAATAGCTCCGCTACTAGTTGAAAACATTGAGTTATGACGATCCGAAGAGATTGAACGACCTCGTTCTTTAACCGCTGCAGTTATGTCGCCTTTAATTGCTGAAATTTTATTTGACAATTTATCCAACATATTATGAGATGATTTAAAATGATGTTGCGAATCGTCCCTTCTCATTGTTTCCGTAGTATCGGTTCGTTTTTTAGTATACAAACGAGATCAAGTATAAAATATGGCTTGCTTTTACATTTTTTTAGGAATGTTGAGCGTGTGATGAGTTGTTGTCGTCTAAAGAAGCAAAAGAAAAAGATAGAAAGAAAAAGAAAAAAAAGAATTATACTGCGGTACGAGAGGGCTGTTTCAACGCAAAAGAAACGAACAACTAACACGAGAAAGAATGAAGAAAAACTAGCGTCGTAAGAGTAAAAATGCGTACACTAGACAAAAAAAGAAAAAGAATAAGCATGAGCACTCAGCAATAATAAAAGTAAAGAAGAAGCAAACGGGTCAGTAAATGATTGCCAATGAATACATGGCAAATATTTGTTGTAACATGTCAAAACATTTGATATCGACATAATTTCAGTCTTTGTATCCTATTCTAAATCGATGTTTGACACATATACGTAACAGTCTAATGTATTATAGAATCAATAAAAGTAGAAATTCTTTGGAATATCATTGTATTAGAATCGCAGGATTGATGTTTTCATGTAACAATCTAATTGTTGAATTCTATAAAGATTCAAGAATCTATCTATTATGTTCGATGAGATTTTCACTGGGTTATATTATACGTACGGTTTTCAATGATCTTTTCGAATGATTCTAACAGATCTAGTGAAAATTCTATATCAATTCAGGATACAAAATTTAATAGAGCCTGCAAAGTTCCTTTATGCCTTCATCTGGTTTTTAAATAGTTTGTATAAAATTCGATAGAAATCATAAAATATCTGATCGTTTGAGTGTATGACATCGGAATATTTCTGATACCATCAGAATTCACGTGCCTCCTTAAAATCTCTATACTAGATCTTAAACAATATCATAAGATTTATTTTAAATGTTCCAGACGTTCTCAAGATATTATAACGATCATTTCACTGTATTTCTTAAGACTATCTTATTGTAGAGATCTATGTGGCAAATTACATAGATTAAAGAAAAACTACAACGATAATTGTAAGACTTGAATATGAAGAATAAAAATAAATAAAAATAAATCTCATTTGTAAACTCGTTTGAGAAAGCTACTTCCTAGAAAAAAATTGAATAATTCAGATTTTGAAAGCAGCGTACTATCGTATGATTTGATCAATTAAATAATTCAAAATAGAAAACAAAATTATTACAGTAAGAGGAATGTATGGTTGAATGTGATCTACAGAACGATTTAAATAAAACAAAGGTAAGTGCATAACTTCTGAAACGTAGGCTACTGTGTCTACAATAGAACAGAAGAAATTATTTTTTCTTCGCCGATCGATGAAATCGAGGTATTCTACGATTCTATATAACATAACCAGCAACAAAACTTGTTTACTTTTATTAACAATTTCAAACGATTTAATGCTGCTAATATAGTATTTAAAATAGTGTTCACTACATATTCATTCATCATATCAATCAAGCATACGTGGCACATCACTTCGAAACAGCTATGCAGAAGTTTATATTTATTAGTAGGAAAATCAATCATGTCATTGCTATTTTTTGAAGTTTTCCAATCACAATGAACTATAAGCAACCATTCAGTTAGTGTAGTGATTAAATATAAATCATGTTGTCAATTATCATACTTATTAGATAGTTTTTGTTTGAAAAAACAGATGAGAATTTTTTCTACTTTTCTTCTTGTTTGAAATAAATATTATTTCACTTGCCGGTAGTTTATGACGTGTATTTGATTACATATTTAACTCAGGGTTGCCAGCTGTTCAGGTCCCAAATGGGGTACATTCGTGAGGTACGCAGTTTACATCTTTCACACGGGTCATCAGCGACGGAAGTCAATTTCGAAAACTGCTTTCAATCTGGAAAGAGCATTCTCAGTTTTTAGTTTTACCATAGAGTCTAGCTTTCGAATTGAAATCTTGATATTCCAATATATGTTCGCAGTAAACTTTCATTGTGACATACATCTGTTCAATTCAATCATAAAAAAGCAGTGCTTACTCAAAACGAAGCGTCTCGATTTATATTTACACTAACTGTTGCACGCTTTTTTTCAAAACTGTATTTTTGTTGCTTTTTGCCACACTTTATCAGTTGCGGTTGTGTTTGAGCAAAAGAAAATAATCTTCACATTTCATAGTATTATTCAACCTGATTTTCAGTTCAGCAGCTATATTTTCATTCGCCATCAAATTTCGACTGGCTATCCATGTGCTTTTCATATGATTAAAAACGCCTTCCACAAATCCATTCGAGCAAGAAATTGAGTACACATAAGAAATAATTTTTGTGCATTTCAAATTGAGGCTTGACACCTTTATCAATACTAGTAAATGTCGTATAAAGAGACAGAAATTTTCTGAATTTCAACCAAAATATAGATGATAGTGACCGTAACATTCAAAAATGAAGATGAGGTACAAAAATGCGTACCTCAGGGGTACAATATTTTTTGAGGTACAAAAGGCTCAAATGGGGTACGGCTAGCAACCCTGAATTAGACATTCCTCACGAGTAAATTGAATTAAAAAAGTTCTCGAATCTAAAATCTTTTTAAAATTCATTTGACTTCTCTTTCGGCCGAACATGAATAAGATGTAAATATGGATGAAACGTGCTGAAAGTCGTTTATCAATACCTCTTGTTTCTTTCTAGTAAAATTATCACAAGTCCAGCCAGAAGTTTATACTTGTACCATTGAATTTCGCTACATTGAAATTTGATAGGAAATTTATCATAAAATTTATAATTGTTTTTATTGGCACTTATAATGTTGCATATACAGTCTGGACAAAAATATTATCTTTTGCTATAACATAAAATAGATTTGCATTTTATGAAAGTCAGAAATCATTGAAAATCTTGTCACATTAATAGATATAAATGCTTTTTACTAGTGCTTTAAAGCTTTCATTAGTATGTTCTGATCGATCGATTTTCCATGATATCATATATATATATATATATATATGCATCAATGTGAAAACTATCCGCAAACGTGAGAGATGAGTGTATTTAACAGTAGTTGCATCGTTGACATCTTCAAATACAAGTAGACGATGGTCACTATTTAACAATGAAATGAATATTTTCGTGTCCTGTACTAGATAAATCCCCAAAAGGTACACTTTAATAATAGTATGTACTTCTTTATATATAATTGTAAAGAATGACATTGTTAACTGTAGCTTCTATCTTGATTTTTCCATTGAGATGAACATCTTTGGTTCTTGAAAAGCAGTTAAAGCCATTGAAAAAATAGAAGAGTTCTAGTCAATATTGATGACATCTAGATTCATAGGATAAACAAAAATTGTGAATATTTTAACATGTATACGAGACAACAAGAAAAAAAGTCAAACTTCGAAACCATTTCAAGTATGCGTTGTAGATAAGTTTTGGTATTTCGTAATATATCTACTTCAATGGAAGCGATTATGAGTTCTATAAAAGTTCTCTCGTCACGTGTGTTTAGGGAAGAGAAATTTTTGGTGTTATAATATTCAACGAAAAGAAAAAAAACATAAATAATTCTTCATTTCATAAAAAAACAAGGAAATTTTATTATTCGTCATCTGAATACCATGAGATACAACATCTTTTTGTTTCGAAAAAGAGCAAATTTAATGAAATCTTCTTTTATTCTAGCTTCGAATATCAATGTATTGTAAGATGTCTTTTATCGAATTCTGAAAATGATATTGACAAAACTGGTGATTCATGATCACTTATTTTAATTGTTGTTTTTATTAATGAGTTTCTTATGATGTATAACTACTCAAATTTACTTTTTTTTATCTTTGAGTAGACTTATTCTTTTTGTTTCGATGTCCATTGATTCATCTGTACCCTAGTCAACTCTCCCTAGAAGAATCCCCAGGGAGTCCCCTGACAAATCCCCGGTGACTCACGACAGGGAGTCCCTAGGGATTTCGTTCTTTTGCGGGGACTCCCTGGGGACTCCCCGGGGAGTTATCTGGTCAAAATCGATGAAATATCTAATTACTCATAAATTCTTCTTAATTTTTTAAAAATTAAAAAAATTAAAAAGTTTTTTTTTTATTTTAAAAATTTTTATCAATTCTCCCCAGAGAAATCCCCGGGGAGTCCCCCAAATAAAAAGTCCCCGGGGACTCACGACAGGGACTCCCCAGGGATTTCGTTATTTTACGGGGACTCCCGGGGAATCGTTGGGGGAGAATCGATTAGGGTAGGCTCTGATCATAGAAAGTTATTCTTAGAATAAAGATCATTCCAAGAATGAAACAATGCGCATTATCACTGTAAGTACTTCAGGTAATTGGGGTGTGGGTGCTGGTGCTGGTGCCATTGGTAACAGATACCCACACCCACACCCTCAAGTTGCATCGGGAAGTTTTTTTATGGCAAATTCTGCACTTCTGCTTCCCAGAATCGAAAAGTAAAATGAGAGAGAATGTTAAAAATAATTTGTTTCAACCTGTCCATGTAACCATTTTTCAGTTTTCAGCACGGTTCTGAGCGTTTCGAGTAAGAGGATCTGACGCATTCATACGCGTCCCAAAGACCCATGTAAAAAAATCTGATTAAAACTTAGCACAGTAATGATTATTGTTCACTTACAACGACACTATTATAATCTGATTTTAATCAAACGTTTCAGCTTGAAAAGAGAAACTTTTTTTGATTCGATTATTTTTCAAGTCTATTTGAATTTACTATCTATCATATTGCAGATAAACAATTACAATAGATTTTAAAATAATCGAAATCAAAAATAATTTCTCTTTTCAAGCTGAAAATTTTGATTTAAGTCAGATTACAGTAGTGTCATCTTTAACTAATTAATAATCATTATTTTGTTATATTGTAATCAAATATGTTTACATGCATGCAACATTCGCGGGTGTTCAAACGCTTTTGAATTAAGGAAATGCATCTGTATACGTTTAAATTATGAGAGCATCACAACTTGTTTGTTTATATATAAAGATGGATTTCAATGGGTCCAAAATGTAACATTTTCAAACCTAAATATGCGTTCAGACATCTGAATATGTCTAGATGCGTTCAATTTATTCTCAAAAAATTTTCGAACCGATGCATCACAATGAACCATGGTGTAACACACTGTCAGTGTGAATCATAAAATGGAATTTTTCGAGTGATAGTTTGAAGCAAGATCTGAAAGCGCAACCATCGATTATCAGTCACCCTCAAGTAGCCATGAACTCTATACTACTAGAGATTGATTATCTGTTCACAAATCTGATGGCTAACGTTTTTAATCTTGATACTAATCAAAATAGTGACACCGGTTTATATTCATTTGGTAGCTACCTCAGGTCGAGGAATCCGACAGTAGGCACCTATCGGAACCAGAGATGGGCAAGTCAGCGTTTTTTCGACTCAAGTCAAGTCAAGTCAAGTCATAGATAAGCCAAAGAAAATTCCAAGTCAAGTCAAGTCATGAGTAGTTCAAAATATTTTCAAGTCAGGTCATGTCAAGTCGAGCACTTTTTCAAGTCAAGTCAAGTCTGATTTCAAATCAAGTCAGACGTTTTCAAGTCAAGTCAATTTGAGTCATAATTCATTCAAAAAATCATCAGGTGAAGTCTTTTTTTGACTTGACTTGCCCATCTCTGATCGGAACCCATCCGATCCGACTGGAATCCAATACGATTTTATCGGATCCTGTCAGATCTTACAGAATTATTGTTGGATTCCGGGTCGAGGAATCGATGTCGGGTCCTCAGTGTCGGATTCCTATGAATTCCAACGAAAAACCGTTGGATGTCATCGGAAGTTCATAGGATTCCGACACTGAGGATCCGACATCGATTCCTCGACCCGGAATCCGGCAGAATTGTATCGGATTGTAGGATATTTCCAGGTTCCTATCGGATCCGATAACGGATCAGTCGACCTGGGAGTGTCATTTTATTCAAGGACAACATCAATAATTAGTCCATGAAATATATTTTTAGCAGAAAATTATTCATTGGATTAAAACATAAAAATGAGCTCGTTTATTGTCTTCTACTTTTTCACGGATAAAATTATTGAAACAAATTTTTCTTCAAAATTAAAATTTTTCAGCTCATCTAAAGGTCTTTGTTTTTGTACTACAATTTTAACTGGTTCATAATAAATGCTAAACAATCAATAAAGAACACTAATAGTAATCGATTTCTTTTTCAAGTAACAAATATTTAATCGAGAAAACACAATGTCTAAACATCAGATAGATTTTTTTTGTTGTCATAATGTATTTTTTCTTAAAGATAAATATTTATACCTATTTCGATTAACTCACTAAAAACACATTTTAATTATGTTCTGCATGCAGAAAACAGTGGGTCTGAATGTAAGTTTTGGTGCGAGATACCAAAACACTGCATCGACACCCAAAAAACATAGGAAATGATGCTAATTGACTTTATCTACTCAATCAATAACATGATATTATCGTTCGTAGCAGTGTATTCTAGAACAATGATTGTTCAATTTAGTCAATGTGATGATTATCGTTAACACTCACATGTTGTTAACGTTTAATACGGGACCGATAACGAGTGTCATTAGATTGATGGAATGCAGCACTTGTTGCTTTTCAATTTCATGCTATGAGAATTATATGAACTTAGCTGACGATCTGAGCATTTTGACATCAATTTCTACAATCTAAGTAATTAAACAGTAGTGGAGTTTTTTTTCATTTTTATCAATAGTAGATTCATTTCTATTTATTTCCTACCAATGTTCTTCTCACATTAGTATGAATACAATAAATACGCATGAAAAATAAGCACAAAAACAAACACGAGACAAGTTTAAGAATGAGCACACATAGTTTTCGCATAAGTTACAACACAAAGTATACGCATGAATTACAAACAATTGTTTCATTTTATACTCTTTAAAGCAAACTATTTTTTTTATAAGTGATGGTGAACTTGATGAGTCACTACGAATACTACTGTTTTCATTTTCACCAGCAACCCAGGTTGATCAAAACGGACTCGTTTACGGTCTGTTTGTCGACGGTAAACGATGTCAAAAAGGTATCTTCACGGCTGTTTGTGCTCCGTACTCTCATGATAATACGGTCCGTATTACTGCGCCAGATATTACGGCAAAATTTCGCCCGTAAAATAGTCGTAAAGTAACCGTTAATGGCCGTATACGGACCGTAACTGTTCGACCTGGGAAGTTCATCCTTTAGCTGTTTTACATCGTCCTTCAACTTGCAAATTGTTTCTTGATGTTCATGGATTGTTTTTTGATATTCATTGAGTAAACGTACAAGCTGCTCGTTCATACCTTGAAAATTATTAATTGTTGCAGCTTGTAAAGTGACAATTGCCTCAAGATTCTCAATACGTTGTTCTGCTGTTTCCACAGGAACATTTTGATTCTAGAAAAAAATTAAGTTAGAAGCAAATCTTTGAAGATTAAAGGATACGTTTACCTCCTTGCCAGCTTTAAGTGGCTGTCGTTTAGCGCTACTCATCTCGGTGACTACTAGTTATAAATCAATGATGTGACCATATAATGTAATCTAATTAGTATCTCTTTCTGAAATCAAATAGAAATTGTTAATTTAGTACTTAACCTGTGTAAAACACATATTTAACTGATATGAGAAAAATGAAGAAGGATTGTCTTTTTCTAGGTAGCAAAGAAGCGGTGTTGGTGAATATAATGCCGTTATTTTTGATTGTACAGCTGCGAAAAAGATTATTCATATACAATGCATGCGTACCGCCGTTCATATCATAGAGCGATGCGACGGCGCCTCCTCTATATTATGAAAATACATACGTGATGAACCATTTATGCATTATATAAAAAATTAATTCAATAATAATGCTTTGGTTAGAATATAGATAAAAACACCCATTAATATTTTGATTTGTCATCAATAAATCGAATACTTTTTATCATCTCAATACGTTAATGAATGTATCGATAATAACGATAAGTATAATAGTCTTCGTTAAAAAAAGGACATTAATATTCATTAAAATTTAATTAAAAAGTCGGTCACAGTTATGGTTCATATTAGAAAATACTTTTTTTGATTCGGAAGTTTTAAATGTTAGTAGTTTTCTCAAATTAATTTCGACTTAAGTTCAATCACATCAGTGAATTAGGGGTGACTCTTTATTTTCACTTTCCTTCATCATAAAGAATAAAGGTAAATGAATCGTTTTTTAAAAAAAACATCGATGAAATGAATTATTTATCTTTATAAAATAAAGGAAAGACAAAGGCATAAGTGATACTTTCTACGATTGCCCAGTGAAAAATATTGCTAAAAAAGAACGGTAAAAAACGCGTTTCAAAAGAACTGAAGCTCTTTTTTTAAGAAAAGAAAGCGTTCCACAACAAATGGAAACCGTTCTCAAATGGAACGAACTAGAACGCATTCTATCATTCTAAGAAGGTGTTCTTGGTCGTTTCGAAATGGAACAGTGAAGAACGCACTCTGCCACTTGTGGAACGCTTTCTCTTCTTTAAAACGGTTAACCTTTCTGATCACCTGGGTGATCATTAATAGATGAATCTACAATTAGTCAAAAGACTGTTCCTGGTGCAACTTGTCGAGCTCTATCGAATGGTGTACTCCAATTCGTTGTAACTGAAACCGTTATTAAAATAATAATTTTTCTAAATCAGACCAAATATCCCTAAAGTAAAATCGAATGAAGATTCCATCATACCTCACGTCAATTTCAACCTGCTTTGCTTCAGACCTTTCACTTTAGAATGAACATGTGGTTTGCTTCGAAAAGAAAGCATTCATCTCTTCAGAGAATCCATTGTCTTAAAGGCTCGTGAGAGAACGTAAAAGGAAGCTATTTTATTTCGATGAAATGCTATGTTAACCGTTCCGAAAGAAAATGAACTAGAATGAATTCTACTGGTTTAAGAATGATACAGAATGCTTTCTCTTCAAATAGGGAACGATTTTTCAGTATAGAAGAAAGTATTCCATACTAGTGTGAAACGGTAAAGAACGAGTTCCTTCAGATCGAGAATATTTCTTTCTGACTCTGAACGCATTCGCTCAAACAAGGAACGCATTCTCTACGTAGGAGATAGGTTTTCATATCCGCATGAAACCATTCTATTCCGTTTTTTTTCGAAATATTTTTCACTGGGTGATAATAGGACTGGAAGTTCCTAGAATGTTTCAAAATCGACAAACTGATGGCATTCTTTTTTCTCGCCTGAGGATCAAGAATTTATACACAGTTTTCATAAACATTCAAATAGAGTTTGTGACAAGGGGGGAAAAGCGAGACTCCTAAGTTGGAGTACAGTAAATTACAAGCGGAGTACAACTGAAGTACAGTGAAGTACGGGTGGAGTACAGTGGAGTCCATTTGAAGTACGAGGAGTACGCACTCACTAAACTTCAGCTAGACTTCACTGTACTCCACCCGTACTCCGCTGTACTCCAGCTGTACTCCAGCTGTACTCCAACGGTACTTCACCTATACTCCAACGGTACTTCACCTATACTCCGGAGTATTGGAGTCTCGCTTTCCTTCCCTTGGTTTGTGATGAAGAATATCTTCATGCCTTAGTTGTTCTATGTATTGATCGATTGCTGATGTTACAAATTCAATATATTTATGTGAAGAGACTCAAGGCGAAGTAACCATATGACGATTACTACTCTACTTATTTCTCAAAGACGACAACTTAGCGGCATCCGTCAAATGAGTATAAATTAAAGGCGGAAGTGGTTCAGCTGATGTGAAAACATTGTTGAACTGGTAAAAACCAGTCAGTTTACCAAGCATTTTTCGCTGATAAAATTTATTATAAATGCACCACTATCTATTATACACACGCTTCTGTCTCTCAAAAAAAATTTTGTATTACAATCGGAACCATTAAGAAGAAAAACAATCAAAACTCTTAAGAGTAAGTTTTTTCATGCAAGTTGGAGTTCCTTGGTTTCAACTTAAATGTTAAATTTTGATTTATATAATCATTTCGTTCCAAATTTGCATGAGAAAAATATTTCTACACGAAAATAAATAGCGAAGCGAGATCATTGTTCTGTAACTATTTTAATCTAATGCTTTATTTTTTTAATTTAATTAAGTATATTGCTATGTCAGCATAGTGGAAAAAGAAAATTTAAGTAGCTTTCAAAGACACTGGATCAAAGCAAACAAACGATGAGTGTGTAACAATGTTTTGATTATGAGGATTCCCAGGACGAGCTTTACGACGTCCGTATACGGTGAAATACGGGCCGTATACGGCCGTTTTCTGCCGTATACGACGGTAAATCGCCGTATTTGGCCGTATTACATGGCTCCGTATTACGATCGTAAATCTCCGTGTCGTAATACGGTGAAATACGATCAAAAACGACCGTAAAGCGCNCGTATTACGATCGTAAATCTCCGTGTCGTAATACGGTGAAATACGATCAAAAACGACCATAAAGCGCCGTATTTCGCCGTATACGGCACGGAGATTTACGATCGTAATACGGAGCCATGTAATACGGCCAAATACGGCGATTTACCGTCGTATACGACCGTGTATGTTCGATCTGGGCGAGATTTGAAAAATTACAAATAACTTTATTTCAAAACAAATTTTAAAAATAAAAAGCTTGAAATTATACTTCATACTGAATGAGCGTGGATGTGGGTTTTTGTTTAAGTATGGGTCTCTAGAAGCGGATATCTATGCGTGTACTTGATCAGATGACATCCCACATATACACTCACATCCAAAGCATATGTTTATTTTGACGGAGAGTCACGATTAGAAAAGAATATTAAAAGAAGTTAGCGCTCTTCAGCGAAAAGTTTTTAGGTAATATTAAATTTTTGTACACTGCTGTGATCTTTATCGACAACATACAGGTTTCCTTGTCGATCAAATGATACGGCCTCGGGATAACTTAACTCGTGCACCAATGAACCGTGAGCACTGTTATCAATGATGACACTTCCATGTAACTCGTCTTTCAACCAACGCATAATTCGATTGTTGCATCTATCGGCTACATATACATTACCCATTCGATCGACCACAATACCTATTGGACGTAATAATTGATTAACGTCACTTCCTTGCCCGTTGCCACCTGCTACAATTGTGGCCTGGCTGATGCCTTCGTCCCATCAGGTCACACGATGATCATCCCACTCAGATACATACACTGAATGATTTTGATCGACAAATGCATATGCTGGTGAAGATAATTGATTGAATGCCTCTCCTTTCCCATTTCTACCTGCAACTATGGTACCCATGGTATAACCTTTTCGATATTTTTTCACCTCAAGCCGAATACGATCAACAACATAAAGAGCTCCGCTGCCGTCTACGACTACACCAATTCAATCAATATCTGAAATTATTGTAGTCCCGCTTGTTGCATTTCTACGAGCCCATCGGACTACTCGTCTATTTCCGCTATCAGCAATAATAAGAGAATCATCTTCTTCGTCCAAAACAACATCATTGGGAAAAGATAACTGATCGGCTGCAGATCCTGAATCATTTCCACCTGCAATAACTTTACCTACTCCTGATTCATATTTTCATTCGATAATACGATGATTCTGACTATCAGCGATGTACACGATACGTTCATTGGTAACATACAGGCCAAATGGGTTACTTAGCTGATGAAATCTTCTGCCTTTCTCATTTCCACCAGCGACAGTATATCCCTTTGTTTCCATTTTGCATCCGAGGATATGTCCACTGAACATCCATGTAATGATACTTAAATGAAACAAACCATTACCTTCTACGATTCTGCACGATACAAATCGATAGACTTCGTTTTTAATTCTCAGATAGCTATGAGATTCATTGAAAATAAAGCCAGTCAATTATCTTTCAAAAGAGAGAATCGAATTTCTTGATGAAATGATTATTGATGAAATTTAATGACTAGTTGGAGAGTTACAGATACTTTGTTGCATTAGAAAATGATCCATTATCTTCAAAGCGTAATCGAATGTGAGGGCATGTCAAAGTAAATAAGCTATCAGCTCTTGGCTCTATGCCAGTGCACAGAACAATAAAATCTAGCATCTTCAATATTTGTTCATATAACTACAGCTGCCTCTATAATTTAACTGATAGTCAGTCGTAAAGATACAGTGAACTCTACTAGACAGAATGTGAGGCACTTCGACTCATGTAAAGACCTCTGATTGAGAAAGCGTTAATTAATTGTTACATCTCTTTTCCTTCAATTTTTCATGCATAAAAGATTTGCTTATAATATTCTGCGATAAAAGAGAAAGAATACCACGGTAAAATAAGATCCAAATGTGTGATATTTCAATTATTAGGAATGTATTCATGTTCACAATGAAGAATTAGACGAGTGGGGCTGTCACGTACTACTTCATATCATGAAAGATATTTATATCCTCATAAGTTATACTAAAGTAGTTAAAACTCATTATTTCTGTTTTTCTATAACAGTGCATGTCAATAGTCTCAGGAGTGCAAGATTCAATTGAGAGGAGTGTTAGCGAGAGTTCCACGCAAGTTACTACACGAATTGTCGAAGATTCAGGTGGATACTGTATATAATTATAGATCGCAATAAAAGTATGATATGAAACTTGAATTCATATCACGCTTAATAGAATGTAGCATAATTTATTAAGGGCACTAGTTTTCTATAGGTCATATATAGTTCTCCAAATATAAACACCATAAATCTACTATGGAATCTTTAAAGGTTTCATTTCTTAATACCTGAAACCTTCAATGTAACAATTCGTTGCTAACAACAAAAGTGAAAATGTTTCTTTTAATGCTTTTTTAAAAGAAAAAAACTCATTTTCCTTTCATTCTTTTCACACATTATAATCTCAACTGAACTCTCATGTCAACTGTAATCTATATATATATATTACTCAGGGGGATACATAATGATGGTAATAATATCACATTTCTGTTTGCTAAGAAACAAGGTTTTCTTATAATATTAAAAACAACAATCGTTAATACAATTTTACTAAAGTTTATATTTACAGTGAGATATCTAGAAAGTAAGATATTCTTTACTTTTTCTAGTAAACTTTTTCTCTAGATAATAATTTCATTTCCGAATTGAAGTCAGTTTTTTACTGGAGTCCAGGTTTCAACATATCTTGTGCACGGTATTGTTGTTGTAAAATGCATATCGAATTGAAAAAGGATATCTGGTTTTATTCATCGCTATAAAAAAAAGAAGTTTTTATTTTTAAATCTATCATTTTACGGTAGAAAGAAAAAATCTAAACTGCATAGTTCCTCCATAGATTGAATTATAATTTGTAATTGCTTATCGGATAAACTTGTTGGTTAATTCAAATGTTTTATAATAGTATTTTGTTCAATATTTTCTCAAGATTATTCACGAGTGACGTAAATATTCAAAATTTGCTGCGAGTCTAAGTGAAAACAAAAAGGTTACTTGTTTCTCATTCTATTGAATGATGAACCGATATAAAATCTAAATATAATGAAGTTATTTCTGAAGGTTAATATCTGGGAAATATAGTAAGTTTATTTTTCATGACAATCATTAGAGCTTTTAAGTGCTTACAAGACTAATGTACAAGAAGAATTCAAAGAGGGAAATTCTATTCTCTTACTCTATGAATATTTACCTACTAATAACAGAAATTATCAATAAACTTATCCTAGGCTACAAAAGAATTTTTATTAGAGCAGAATGCTTTGCATTAATTATTGATGCATATTTATGAATTACATCATTTTTTTTTATCCAACTGAAAATTCAAATTTATTTTTACATCCTTTAATGATTTATAAGCCTATCTATACGAAGTTGTAAATCCTATTAGTAGAATGTATCAGTTAAAGTCTAGAAATCTGCAAATAAAACTAATAATCGTCTTATTCAATACCAAAAATGCCTATTTTAACAATACAACAAAATATTATTCATGAATGGTTTTGAATTCTTGATTATTGAAAGTTCTGTGAATTCTTCTTGATTACTCAGTTAAATAAGAACTCAATCTCAGACATAAAAATATTCCTTTTTTTTCATTGAAAAATACTAGAAAAACAATTTTCAGTTTTGTTAAAAGGAAGTTGGCAAAGTTCACTGACTTCAGAGTCTGAAGTTCAGACTCGTTATTTTCATAAAAAACATCGCTTTTTTTGAGAATCTTTGAAAGTCTTTAGCATGCATTTACCTGTCAGTTCTGTTCACCTGTGTAAAATCAGTTGATATGCACTGTTTCTATAAATTATTTTCATATTTTAATATATCATTGAAAATCTTCTTGGCGATTTTAATAATCTCTATCATATAATATCACACTACTACAGTAAATAAAATACTCTCAATAATGAAAATTATGATTCTAAATCAATGACATTTATATTCCAAGGATATAAAAAGATTTTTTGCGTGTAATAATATATCTCAAAATTTATTTTCAAATGTTAACTATGTGATTTCAGTGAAATAAATACAGCGCATTTTTATTAATACTATACTTTCATTTTATTGTTAAACATTATTAAGAAGAAGAAAAACTAGCGATCTTCTATCATATGAGAAACCAAGAAATTCTTTAGCCTAATGACATGAACCGGTTAAGCCGATTCTTTTTTCTTTATTATATATTTAGCTAGTTTTCATTCGACTTCAAAGAGAGAGGATAAGAATGATAAAATTGTTATTTTTTTTGTTTTCACAAGCTTCACATGCACACATAGAGAATAATTACAATTAAATGATAGTCAAAAACAAAACACACACAGATACAATATTTATTATTCATCGTGATGATCTTTGATTCATTAAGCATTTGGAATTTTTCAATGAAGATGCAGTTAAATGACGTTGTTGGTCATTTCGACGAAGACAAGACGCTCGGATTTCGAATTTTTTTTCATTTAATTGAATTTCAACTTTTGAACGAGTTTTTCTCTGTACTTTACGTTCACCTTCATATCTATCATATAATTCTTTCCATTGACAACGAAGTAAACAAAGAAGCTCACTACGGAAAACTTTTCCACTGACACAATATAACAAAAAGTTAATACAAAAATTAGTTAACATAAATAATTCAGTTATTTCTTTAATAGACTTCAATGTACTATTTTTAAAACCATGAACATAATTAGCAATCCATACTGCACAATAAGGAGAATTCAATAAAAGAAATGAACATGATACAAGTAATAAAGTTGCTGTAACACGTTGTGTTCTTGAATGAATTTGATTTTTAGCTGAACTTACTGAATATTTTGTTTGAAGAGAAAAGTTCGCTGAAGCACTCGATAAAGAACGCGATGATCTATGCGATCCAATATTTTCAATATCTGGAGAACCATTACCCTATGTAGAAGTATGAGTAATTATTTTATAATATTTAAAAAGTTAAAACATTCGCCTATGATTCTTGATTTTGTATTTTATTTTTTTATTGCTTTAGTTTTCTAGCTTTTAGAAACAGATAAGACTAGATGGTATTCAAGTTTCACTCGAATACGAAATGCGATGCGAAGCTCTAATCGGATCTTCGCGAAAAATCTTGAATTCAGAGAAATCTTGAATGCTTTTTATGGCGACATGATGAAATTCATCACTCAGAAAACTCTATTCTTACTTAGCGATACATTCTTAAGGATCAATTTCGATTTATCGATTAATTATCTCCATGATTCATTATCTTAAATCAGCTGTAAATGAATAGACTATAGTGGCTAACATATGTTCATGACGTCACTTTAATTATCTTGCAACAAATTTCTTTCATTTTCGTCATTTTGGAACCACATCTGTGAGTAAACAAAACGTCTGATTAAAAATTAGAAAAAAGATTTCTCAAGTTCGATCTTGATACTTCGATCTCACGTTTCAATGACTTTTCTACGATTTATGGTTCTCGAGATCATCGCGACACAAAACGTCGACTTTTGATGCATACGTCAAGTAAGTAAAAGATAATAAAAAGAAAAAAAAACTCGCGACGGACTACATAAATGCTTCTGCTTCGCATCGCATTAATAAAGTAAAGATGCAAAAATGACTAATTCGAAAAAAAGTAATTTCCAGGTAATCTCTTATGAATTTTATTACTTGCAACTGAGCTATTATATTTCTTTTAAAGAAGAAGATGCATGTGTTGTCACTGTATATTTCAATATTTATTAATAAGTATTCGTCAATAATAAAAAAATATGTTATTAACTGCGTAGTTTTGAGAAAACAGATAACAAAGAAAATGTACACTTCATCATTGATGATACATAAAGATAAAAAAAGAAGCTAGTCTTATCAAGAATTGTTGATAGAATGTTTGAGACAGCTTTAATTGCCTTTCAATAGTTAAACAAGACCCGAGGGGAAAAGCGGCTCCTGGATCCTTGGATCCTAACGACTCCTCATGGATCCTGATAAATTCTACTGGATTCTGGTGGATTCCAATGAATTCTTATGAGTCTTGGTTAGGGATGCACCAGTGCCAGTCTTACTGGTTTTATGGGTACCAGTATTTCTAGTTTGCCAGGATCATCGGTGTCAACACACACCAGTATTGAGAGTTCCACACTAACACCTCCAATACTGATGCATCCCTAGTCTTGGTGGATGTTTGAAGATATGTGAAGATCAGTATCAGCTCCTTATCGCTGTCACTTGCTTTCTTTTTAGTCTAATATAATGACTTATCCCGTTAGACTAAGTTGCTTTTTAAGGTTTTCTATTGTAATTTCTTAGATTGATATTCGTCTTCGCAACATAAAGTCTCGTAATCATTAACATTCTGTACAAGGTTATCCAGCAACTCTATTTGCTGTCAAGGGAAAAGTAAAAAAAAATAACTTGTAAATCCCATGAAACACATGAAATTTGAATGTTTTTTCATAAAAATATGGGATAGAGTGATGAATTTATTAACTACGTAGCAAGTAGCAATGATTCATGCATTTTTCACTTTTTGCTACAGCATTTACTACTATATTTAAAGCAAAACTTGTATATATCTGTGAGTTCATATGTTTGAACCGATCGTTGCAAACCAAGTCATACGGATGTACTTGTGAGAACTTTCCAATTTAACATGAAGAATTAATCAATGCATAGACAAAGTCATGGGTAGAAACAAAATAGTATTCTTCATTTCAACAGTATCGTGTATATTGTAAAAAGGCTAAATAATTTTTTCAGAACTATTGTAACACATGCCCAGTCATAGAATAAGATGACAAATAAATTCTTCGGTTCTTCTCTTTTTGTATACAATAAAATCTGTAAATTTTTTTTCTAAGCATTTACATACAAGAAACGATATATAGACTGTTTAGGTCTTTGAAAAATGAATGGCCACTATCGTAATTTTTTCAAAACACAATAAAAATCATAGATAATACGTATATGAGCCTCGCTGTTCTGCTTAGCAACTGCAAGCTGTTTAAAATATTGAAGTAAACTCATTAATCAAAATGGATCCTAGAGAATTCTATGGATCCTGGTGGATTCTAGAATTCATCTGGAATCGCCAGGAGCCGCTTTTCCCCGTTGTAACAAGATCTATATTATTACTTTACTTACTGACTTTTCTTAATAAAAAAAAGAGAGCTTACCAGTGATAGATTTTTATTTATATTTAATAATTTTCCAGTTGAATGATATAGATCAAGTGGTGTATTGCGTCCTTTTGGTAATTTTTTTGATTCAATAGATGATGATGATCTTGCTGATAAATGTATACATGATAAAAATTCCGAAAAATAAGATGAATGTTGAGAAGAAGGAACAGAAGATGGATATACATGATGTCTAAATCAAGGATTAAAATTAAAATCCAATATATATATATATATATATATAAATAGATTTTACCGTTCAGTTGTGCTTATGGTATCTTCAGATTTATCGAGCATTAAACTGTTTCTCCAAAGTTTACAACAAATAAGCATATTAACAATACCAATAATACACATTGGTAGCAAATAAACTAGAATCATTGTCGTTATAGCAAATCTCATATAGATTGCACGATATTTTGGTAATATATCACAAATAGTATCATTTTGTAGAGGATTGTGTAAACTGATTATTCCATAATGAAATGGAACATTTATGTTACATAGAAGAGTTGTTATAAAAAGAAGAAAAACAACAAAACGTGCAATTTTACGACGACAAATAATCGCTCGTTTTAATGGATAAAATACAACAATAAGACGTTCAATAGTAAATGAAACAATAATCCAAGATGATAAAGATCGTGTTTCACTTCTTGCATATTGAACAAGTATACAAATAAAAGATGGACTACGATCAAGAAAGTTTATACGGGATTGATATAATTGATTATGATTACGAAATGTATCTTCGAAAAGATTTATAATAAGAAAACAAAGATCAGATAAAGCAAGAGATAATAGATAGAAATATGACGATTGTCTACGGTATCGTGGCGATAAAAATATTAAGATAGAAAGTATATTACCGATTATTCCAAGAGTAGTTAAAATAAATGGCCCATATATTGACATATATTGTTCAACAGTTTCTAATGTAGACATGCTATTGTTGATATTTACTTTTAATTATCTGAAATAGAAAATGATCATCTGGATTATATTATATAAACGATGTATACATAAATGTCGTCGATTCAGATGTATCAATGTTATCCTTAGACACTATGTTATTTTTCATCTTTTATAGTAACTAGTTAACTATTTTACCCAGTTCTTTTTTCTTATGGGAGAGAACAGGCTGATGGCCCATTGATTTTCCTATGATTCTTTTCTTTTTTTTCTCTATTTCTTAGCGTCTTCTCGACAAACAATAGGACTCAAAAGGAAAACTCATTTACACCTACTAACATATATTTAAGATTCCGCAACAAAAAAAGAGACATAATATAGCCAGAAAAAAAACGTTTTTTCGTCAAACGCTTGATATCTCGCACGATTGATTGCTTATTATAGATATCTTCACTAAAATCACGAATTTAATCTTATAAAGCAAAACGAAATGATTAAGATACTACCGAGTGAATCAACTTAACCAAGAGGTTATAGACATGAACCGATCTTTTTTAAAATTAGTTTCATATACTAATCATGTAATTTATTTATCTTTTGAAATAAAAACATACTGTGTGTTTTTTTTGTCTTTGTTGAAGTCGTATTTAGGCTGAAGGCGAAAGTCATTCTCTAAAACATTATTCTATGATAACATTATAAGATAATCACCTTGTACTATAAAAACAACCACAACTGTATTCTAGTGACTTTTTAGTAGTTTGTACTATGTTAATAATGTATATATTTTAATATATTGCGTTATTTCTTGAAACATACTCATGTCAATATAATTGACCTGCCATATATGTCAGTGTCTATCATCATCAATTTTGGTAATTCTTTTTGTTTTGACAACGCTAAAAAATATGTTTATACGGTCAATAACAAAAGAAAAAAGAAGCGAATATGTCATCTACACTAATCAAAATAAAAGATGTTTATCTGTGTATCAACTCAAAAGAATATCAATGCTATACTTTTCCTACTTCGATTAAATGTAGTATGAGAAAACTTTCATGATAATCAGAAGAAAAAGAGTTCATTTTTATTCTTTTGAAAAAAAAACTTTCTTTTAAAAAAAAAGGAAATGACAACGTCATTTTTCACATATAAACATAAAAGTCTATTTAAGTAAAAGAGAAGATATGAGCATATAATATATCATGCATGTCTCTTCGGCAAGAATAATAAGAATCAAGTTGATGCGTTTCGATTTAGTTTTACTGTTCTCTAGTGTTCACAGCTACGCATATGTTGATGAGAAAGTGTTTTAATAATAGATATAAAGACATTAATAATATGTACGTATGTGGGCTAAGCATTGAAAAGAGAACACTGAAGAATCGCATTCAATTAATCTATTTAATTAAATCACTGTCTACGTGCAGATAATAATATCAAATATATTTAATAACGAAATATAGTTCTTGCTAATAAATACATTCGTCAGGTTGAATTAATTAGATGAGAAAGCTCAGATGAAAATTGTTTGCATTTTTAAGATTTTCTTCTGTCAATTTTAAGCTCAAGTACAATAATAAAATTAATTTTTATATTCACTTTTTAAATATTTATCTTAAACAATAATTTATATGCAACTCTCATCAAAATACTTTTATGTCTTTATATTAAAACAGTGATCTAATAATTGCATCCTACTTATTCATTGTTATTCGGTCGCTTCCTGTCAGATTTTCATTCTTTTTCACTAATTATTCAAAATCTATCCTTTTACAAAATATTCTGTTTACTATAGCTTTCAGACATTGCTGATTTATCATAAGCATATAAATCGCATCTCATTATACATATATATGTTGTAGGACAGATTAAAATCCAGTTCAGATTAAAATAATTTTGATCTGAAGTAGTTCACTTTAAAATTCAACAAAGAAGATTTTAAAGTGAACTAGTTCAGATCAAAATTATTTTAATCTGAACTGGATTTTAATCTGCCCTGCGACATATATATATATATGCGTGTCTGTGTACATTACGTCCCTAGTGGCATTACCACCAGCGAACATTTCAAAATTAATTAAATGAAATTCATTTAAACAGTTAAATTTGATGAATGTTCTAGCAGTGAAAAATTGTCAGAAACTCTTAGAAAAGCAATTTTACATTTGTCTTTACTAGTGTTATCATATACGTGGGTTATTCTGAAAGTTTTTAGATTCTTTATTAAATTAAGAGATATCTAAGGCTTTGGCAGTTGTGGTAATAGGCCCAAGTCTTAGAAGAAAGTATACAAAGTTTTAGCTCTTAGACACTTTTCCTTTCGTTGTTTTGTAGATTAAGTGATACACTACTGACATCTTTATTTTGCATCGTCATGAATCTAACAAGAAATCAAATTCGAATTAGGATTTGTTATGATTAAAAAAAACAATTATCACAAGAGGAATGTCTTGAATCATTACACAGAACCTTTGGTGACTCTTGTGTTTCTCGTGCCACAGTCTACAATTGGATTGCTGAATTCAGTCGTGGCAGGGATCACTTTGAAGATGAACCTCGTGTTGGTCGACCAAGAACTGCAATCACTCTAGAAAACATCGAAGCTGTTCCGGAACTGGTAAAATTAAAGAGCAACTTGGTGATAAAAACTTGCAGGATATTAATGAACTTCATGATGCTGTCAGAACACATATAGACTCTCTTCAAAAAAGATGATTTCTATCAATGTTATGAAAAGTGGTTCGAAAGAATGAATAGCTGCATTAGTGCACAAAGACATTACTTCGAACAAATATAATAAAATTCTTTCAAACTAAGCTAATAGTATTGCAAATCTAAAAACTTTCAGAATGACCCAGGTATATATACATATATATATATATATAAATTAGTTTTAAGAGGAAAAATAAATTTTATCTGGTATCTGCACACAAACTATCACTATAGTCGACGATCTTGACTTCGATCTGTCCAGTAGTGTCAAACTTGAAACTTGAATTCAGTTGAAAATAGAAAATTTCAACTTTCAACTTTCAACTCATAGTGATATATGTATGAGTCACGATTCTTCAGAATGCTATTGGTTTAAAAGTTGAAAACTGAAAATTGAAATTTTCAATTGAATTCAAGTTTCAAGTTTGACATATATGGATCTGTCCAGATTCTTGTTTTTCTTGAATACCAAACAAGATTCTTTGTAATCATAATATTCAGGCAAGATTCTTCGGCACAGGAAAGAAACAAGATTCTTGCCTGTTATTCAAGAAAAACATAATCTTGTCTGATTGCTCAAATAAATAAGAATCAGGCAAGAATGGCAAGATATTCAAGATTTTTTGAAATTCAGACAAGAATCTTTTTTCATTTTTTTTCAACGATTCTTATTATATCTTAAAGAAAAATATCACATGATCTTTTTGTGTATATATACTTATAAATATATAGAAGTTTGAAGAGCATATCTTTTTTTTCAAGATGACGCGGACGAACTATAACAGATATATGTTTTAAATAGACAGTTGTGTTCAAGTGTTTTTCGTTTCTTTTTTTTCTTAACTTTTTTTGTATGCACTATGAGCTTATTGTATATTTCCTTGCACATGTAATGTACTTTTCTGGTATTTTTTTATATGAAATTAAAATATAGTAGGACCGAAAGGAGGCAACCGTATGGATGCCTAAATGAAATTCATTTGTCGTGCAAGAATTTTTTCGAAAATGGCAAGAATTGTAAGAAAAAAAGAATCTTGCCAAAATGACAAAAACCAAGGGTCATGCAAGAATTGCAAGAAAACAAGAATCAGACAAGAATGCAAGAACACAAGAATATTGCCAGAAAGACAAGATTTGTTTTTTCAGGCAAGAATCTTATAAAGAAGGAATGACAAAAGAATTTTAGCTGATGTTCAAGAAAAACAAGAATCTGGACAGATCGAAGTCAAGATCGTCGACTAGTGTAATTTTCTGACGTTAGTCAGTGTTTATTTTACTTTTCTTTAATATTACGTATTTGTATTGAAGATTGATATTATAGTACCATATAAACATATAAAATGTAAAAGTATATGAATATTAGCATGTCCTTAAATGAGTGCTTTACTGAAAAAAACAAATGTTCTCATTTTAGATCAAATTATTTTTAATAATAGAAACTTGTGTTTTCACACTAACACAAGTGAATGAACCCGACAGCGAGCCCTATTAAATTTCATGGGATCCGACAAGTCGAAAAAATCCGATTAGATGCTTGATCGCGGATCTACTAACGGATCCGACGGAAAAAATATATTTTCTTAATCACCAATGAATAAGCATATGGTGCCAACAGAACGCATGGGTCGAATGTTTATGTTGGATTCCGTTAAATTACGACACTGGAACCAATCGGATTCCAACACTAGGGTTTCGATTGTAGGTCCTACACGCGAATACCAATAGGATTTCGTCGGTTTAATTAAATCCATACTATATCCGATAAGATTCTGACACGAATCCGATAGGATCCCACTATCGGAATCATCCTCCTGGAAGTACATACGTACACATTAAGAAATAAGAGAAAAGATATTCATGAAGACAAATAACTCATTAATATTCAAGTAGATTTTGGTAATTGTGTTACGAAGTTTCTTGGGAAATAAAGAAAGTAGAGATGCACCAGTACCAGTAATACTGGTTGTATGGGTGCCAGTATTTCTAATTTGCCGGAGTCATCGGTGCCAACACACACCAGTATTGAGAGGTCCACTAACTAACACCTCCAATACTGGTGTGTGTTGACACCGATGACTCTGAAAAATTAGAAATATTGGTACCCATACAACCAGTAATACTGGTACTGGTGCATCCCTAAAAGAAAGTACAACTCCATCTCCGTTAACATATACAACTATATAAATACATATACAGCGACTACCAAAACTATTCAACAAGCAAGCGGACTTTTTTTCTTTTGTGTATATTTCAAGAACTGTGTACGCTAGAATAGTTCTTTTTTGTCATATCATAGCTTCTAAACAGTACTATATTCA